CTCTCCTCAGGTGTGGGAGCGCCCTGTGGCCTTGGAGGCTGAGCTGGCCCTGACGCTGAAGGTCCTAGAGACTGTGGACAAGTCAGCCCTGGGGACTCTCCTGGACCAGCCCCTTCACACCCTGAGCCACATCCGCTCGGAACTCCTGGCATGTGTGAGTCCTCAGGGAGCCCAAGCCCCTTCTGTGGGCTCTGGCCCTGCGGGACCCACCCCTGTGCCACCAGGCCCTGCCTCACACCACCCCTTCCCTCCCCACAGACCCCAGCTCAGCCCACAGCAGGGCCCCAGGCCCGGGGCCGCCTCCACCGCTGGCTGCACAGGCTCCAGGAGACCGAGAAGAAGGTGAGGGACTGGGAGGGGGGAGCCAGGGTCCTGAGTCGGGGAGGAGGCCGATGGTGGGAGACAACTGCCTCATTGCCCACCCTACACACACACACACACACACACACACACACACACAGAGTCCCGAAGCTGCCTGGCAGCTTCAGTCACGTTGAACCTCTTCCGCCTGCTCACACGGGACCTAAAATGTGTCGCCAGTGGAGACCAGTGTGTCTGAGCCCTCAGTTCCCCCATCCCACCTAGACTTTGTTTATGCATCAAGTGCCCCCCTCTGTCTTCATTTATTTCATGCTGTGCCAACCTCCTCCTCCCACCCCCACATTTATAGAGCTGCAACCTTGACGGTGACCCATAAGAAAGATATCTTTTTCTACTTCTGTGCATTATGCACAGCTAAGCTGTGAGGAGCTGAAGCTTTCTGTAACCAGTGAATCCGTGTGTGTGTGTGTGTGTGTGTGTGTGTGTGTGTAAGACCGAGTGTGCTAGTTGCTAAAATTGATTGAGGTCAAAATTGTATGTACAGCCCTTCATGATATGGTGGATCTATTGAATGGTATGATATGTGAACCAAGTGTCAATTAAACTGTTTTTTAAAAGAGAAAGAAAAAATAATTATCATTTATCAAGGGGTCCCAAAGAGGGGTGGGGGGTGAGGAGCTGATACCAAGGGCTCAAATAGAAAGACAATCTTTTGAAAGGATGATGGCCACATATGTACAAATGTGCTTGACGATGGATGTATGGATTGTGATAAGAGCTGTAAGAGCCCCCAATAAAATGATTTATTAAAAAGAACAGACCTGTTCAAGGCTGTGACCTTTCAGAGGCAAATCTCCAGGTGTTTTTCCCAAGGTGCTTCTGCGTGATTGGAAGCCCTAGTAGTTGTCCAATGCTTAACCGTTTGTCCCACCCAAAGAGCCCGTATGGACTTCAGCTGTTGTGATGGTCGGGCACCATTGAGTCGATGCTGACGCATAGTGGTCCCACGCACGGCAGAATGAAACACTGCCCGGTTCAGCAGCATCCTCAAAACCCTGGCTATGCCATCTGTAGACAATGGGACATCCCCTTACAGAAGGGTCACAGGGAAGACACAAACCAGTCAGGGTGCAGT